CAAGAGAGACGTAGCCAAAAAAAAATATTACTAAGAATGATGTCAAATTGTTTATTACTGGTATGATTTCAGGTCTTAGATTTAACTCCTTAAAGTGCTCCAGTTTCATTCTTGCGCATGTGTGTCTCCAAATTTCTTAACACCATTTACTGAAGATATTATCTTTACCCCTTGTATATATTCTTGCCTCCTTTGTCATAAAGTAAGTGACCACATAGCCTTGGGTTTATTTCTGGGCTCTCTCTTCTGTTCCACTGATCTGTGTGCCTGTTTTTATGCCAATACCATGCTGTTTTGTTTACTGAGGTCTTATAGTTTGACATCAGGTCGTATGATACCTCCAGCTTTGTTCTTTCTCAAGATTACTTTGACTATTCGGGGTCTTCTGTGGTCCCATATAAATTTTAGGATTATTTGTTCTAGTTCTGTGAAAAAGTCCATTAGTATTTTCACAGAGATTGCACTGAATCTACAGATTGCTTTGGGTAGTGTGGACATTTTAATGGTGTTAATCTTTTTGCTCGTGGAGCAACGTTTGCCTCAACGTTGATGAAAACGCAGTGTCTCTGACGTTCAGTAGAGGGAAGCACAGTAAGGCAGAGCACAATAAAATGTGGTATGCCGGTGCAATAAACCTGCGGGCATCTATTGCTTGTTGATTACATGCCAGACAGTGTACTAAGCCCTAACGAGAGACATTATGGACTTCAGAGAACTTACATTCTAGGAGGGGAGGCAGACACACAAGTAAAATAAACCACAGCGTGATTAACAAAACAATAGAACAGTTAGCATAGAAAGAGGGGGTTGTGGATAGAAGTCTGCAGAGCTTTCCTGGTGGGAGTGGTGTCCTAGCTGATGAATGGGAGTGCACTGTGGAGGGCAGCAAAGCCAGCGAGGTGGGCTAGGGAGATTATGCCTGGTTTGGTCATCCTGTGCTATAAGCAGTGGGTCATTTGTGGCAGGAACTAAAACTGAAGGAGTAAACCAGACTGGGCATGAAAGACTGTATATCAGGGACTTGCCCTTAGCCATTTTAAGTAGGAGAGTAGCAGAGTCTGAATTACCCCTCTGAATTTTTATTTTAAATGATGACTTGACCAGTGTTGATCACTTGCTATCCTCAAGCTTACGAAACAGTTGTAATATTTCTAGTAAGTAACAAAAAGTCAACTCAAAATGGCTTAAATTCAACATGGAGGAACATTGGAGATATGCCAAGTGCAATAAACTAGTCACAGAAAGAAAAATACTATATAATTCCACTTACAAAAGGTTCCTAGAGTAACCAAATTCATAGAGACAGGAAGTAGAATGGTGGTTGTCCGATATAGGGGGAGGACGGATTGGGGTATGGAGTTTCAGTGTTACAGGACGAAGAGTTCTGGAAATAGATTGTGGTAAGGGTTGCACAACACTGTAAATGTACTTAATACTGCTCTACTGTACACATTAAAATGGTAAATTTTATCTATTTTACCACAGTATAAAAAATGGCTTAAAACAAATGGAAAACGCATTATTTCATAACAGCTTTGTAGGTAGAGTAGCTTCAGGGTTGGGTAAATTCGTGGTTTCAGCAGTATCAAAAAGTGACCCAGGTTGTCTTCATCTGCCTCCTCTGCCACCCTTCACACACCTGCTTCATCCTTAGCCAGCTCCCCTCACAAGACATTCCTTTCCAAAACAACACCCATGAAAAGAGAGCGTCTTTTCCCATGTCTCTTTTTTTTTTTCTTCATTAATTTTAGAGAGAGAGAAAAACATTGATGAGCGAGAACATCTACTGGCTGCCACTGGGGGTCGGGCATGTGTCCTGACCAGGAATTGAACTGGTGACCTCTTGGTGCATGGGTCGACCTGAGCCACACCGGCCGGACCCATATCTCAAGAAAGACTTGGTCTTAAGACCAAGAAAGACTTCCAAAATCACGTTATTCAACACCTCCATTTGAATAACCACTGTAGCCATTTCGTCAACAGGATGGCCAAAACCGAACTCCTGATGTCCCCCTATATCCCTTCTTCACTGTCTTTCCAGCCTCAGTCAATGACAAGTCCTTTTTTCTCCAAACCCTTCCTTTACTCGGGCCAAAAGCATCCGTCATCTTGGCCCCCTCTTTATGTTACACCATATATACATCAGCATATTCTTTTGACTCTGCCTTAAAAGTGTTTCCAGACTCCACCTACTTTTCACCGCCTCCACATCTTCCTAATTACCCAGTAGCTTCTTAACTGGTCTCCCTGTTTCTGCCCTTGATCACGTATTCATTCATTGAAAAAATATTTGAGTTAAGTATGTACCAGGCATTGCTGTGGGAACCAGCAATTTTGCAGTGAATAGAACAGATAAAAACCCCTTACCTCCTGGAGCTTTCATCCTGTTCTCAAAACAGCAATCAAACTGATGATCTCTTTCAAATATAAGTCAGTCATATCTCTCCTTTGATCAAAATCCTTAGATTCACCTGCTCATGCTGATAGTCTCTACATGCAACTGAAGATGAGGAAAAGTCAGATTCTAATATTGAAGTGCCTGTGTTTCTACTGAGTGCTGTCATGCCACAGAGTCTAGTCCAGTTTGAGTGAGGATTTTAAAGTGGAAGAAAGGGAGGTGGGAAAAGAGTTTCTAGCAGGTAGGATTCTAGAAACAGGAAGCACTGCATTGAATGTCTTCATTCTGACAGTAGTTTCTTCACCACCTGCCTCTCTTCCTGCTCTTTCTACTCTTTCTACCTTATTTCACTGAATTTGTTGGGCAGTTGAGCTCTCAAAACACGTTGAATCATCTATTAAATGGATGTGTGGTTTTTTTCAGTTGAGATATAACATATGCAATAAAGTATATTTTAAGTGTACCACTTAATTTTTTCATGTGTATGCTCCCATGTAACTAATTCAAATCAAGATAGATTTTGAGAACTCTCTTGTTCCCTCTCAGTCCATATCTTCAACATGTAACCAGTATTCTAATTTCTATCACCATAAAATTAGTTTTGCCTATGTCAGAACTTTGTGTTGATAGAATCTTTTATATCTGCTTTCTTTCATGCAAAATAAGGTATGAAATCTGTGCAGATAGCTGAAGCTTTTTTTTCATTGCTGTATAGTATTCCATTCTTGAACATACCACAGTTTTTCTGTTCATATTTGGGTTATTTCCTGTTTTGGATATTATGAATAACATGGATGTAAAAATTCCTCTTTTCATTTGGGAATATAATTGGTGGGTCATAGGATATGCTATGGATATAGAACTTTAGGAGCTAGTGCAGCAAACGAAGTGTCTGTACCCCTCTGAGGGTTTTAAGATGTCTTCCTGTATTCAATGCTCTGAGCTGTTACCTGACCCATTATTCTTCATGTTTTTATGTTCCCCTTGCTCTATCCCAAGCCACAATGTTGAACAGAAGTAATGATTAGAATGCAAACACAAGGTGATATGCAAGATGAGTATCAGCAATCCTTGGATCCAAGGGGATTTTCTCCAGTAATCTGTTACTACAGGATATGGTTCTGTGACCTCTATCGCATCAGTTTCATTTAGTACTTGAAAATTTTTAAAGGGGGTATGAAATCCTATTTCTAAAGAGCAAATGTTCAGGCTAAAGGACTAGGCTAGATTTGAAAGAGCTAATGGTTATTTGATTTCGTGCACAATACTGATCACTAGCCATACAAAGTAATGAACAAGAGAAGGAGAGCTCATCCTGTGTTCAGAGGCCAACTAGCAATCATGGGGGGCAAAGCACTCTAAGGAAAACTCTGTGGTTTGCATTTACATCACACAGTGTACTCTGAATACTACCATACTACTCACGCATGATGTTTGGGTGGGTTTCCACATATCAGGTAATTCTGCAACACCAGCTGGGTTTCCTGTAATTTAACTCGATTCCAACACTATCTCCCGGGAAACTGTCAGATCCCACAGATTAAGGGCTCAGTCCCACAAGACTGCTCCCACTTCAGGTTCCAGACACGCCTCCAGTTTGTTAGCTGTGCTTCTGACCAGTGGGCTGTAAGTCGTAGGTTCCCACAACACCCTCCAGGTTCAGTTAATTTGCTAGAGAAAGACCCAGACACACACAGGAATTTAGAAGAATTCACCGAGCCTGGAGCATAGTGGTGAAGGGGAGAGTAGTAGCAAAAGATGAAGCTGGAAATACAGTCAGACGCCAGAACATGAAAAGCTTTAAAATAACAACAGCCAATGTTTCTGAGGAATTGGCCTTTTCTAGACTCTGGTCTAATCACATTTCATGGACTATATCATTTAATACTCAGCATCCTTAAAATATAAGTACATTGTTACAGCTGATAAAATGGAGGTTCAGGGAAATTAAATAATTGACCCAAGCCACAGACCTGTGAAATGACAGGCCGGGGCTTGTCTAACTGAGCAAAAGCCCATTCCCTTAACCACTCCTGTGTACGCCATGCTTCATCCCCGTGTGAGCTCAGCTTCTCATATGCGATGTCTGTATTTTGGATTGACTTACATCAGCTAATGTTCCTTAAATGTACGCAAATATAAAGCTGGGATAAACGCCAGGTGTTTATACTGATCATGTATCAAAATAAATCTAATTAATACAAACAAAACTATAAAACTAATAACATTAAGTAGCATTAATTTAACGTGACTGGTGATATTTTGCTGACATTGTCGCTGGTGAGGAGTGACCATGGCCCCGAGTACAGCGCAGCCTACCTTTGCTCTGGCGGCTGTGCGGAGACCCCGTTTTCCCGCAGCTCTTGTCTCCGACTTCCTGGAAGCACAGTGCTGCCGGCAGGTGTGCACATGCGCAGGCCCTGAAACACAGCTCCTATATTTTAATGCATCTTGAATTCAGAATAAGAGAAGTGGTCCAAACTTATTAAAATGGGATTCCACCTGGAATGTAGTGTGCCCTGTGAAGAGGGTGGGAGAGGGATGCTGTAGTTGTGTACGGTAGAGATTCTTTTCTTACTTTTGTAGTTTTGCTTCTTCACAGGGGTTGGCACCAGGAATTATTACAGAAAGATTGGCTACAGATTACAAGGCCCATACATGGTGAAGACGCTAAAACAGTAACCACATCAGTCCACCTGGAGGCAGCGTTTCTATCAGGAAATGGAGATTTCAGGTGTCTTGAATATTCAACAGAGAGGCTGGGCAAAGCAAATAGACCTACCCAGTCCCCTTGGCAAGAAGCTTCACCCTCATCCTGCAGCTGCAGAGACTGGAAACTGCTTTCAGGGCGGGATCGGGCCTCCGCGCTCCTGTGCCCCCTCTCCTGCGTGTTCCCAAGGAGTCACTCGGTCCTGTATCCAGTTTCTAAATTCTGAATGAGGCCAGCACACCAACAAGCAAATTAATCAACACATCTGGATACCGTGATTCATGAACTAAAACTAGGTGTTGCTATTTGAGGAGTCCAGTTAGAAGCAATTTATTGATGTGGTATAGGGACAAAAGGTCAGGTTGAACATATGAAAACTGACAAATTTCGAACTCTGGACTTGAACTACATAAGCATTCCAGCACAAGAAAATGAGCTTCTGTTTTGATGAAATCATTCTGGTTTCTGTGATGTTTGCAGTGATGGAGAGAGGGCTTTATGTTGCAGGCTTGAAACCAGCCTTTTTCATTTGCAAGTCTACCACCTACGATGGCTCAATACAAACATCCTTCGTTTCACATTTTTTGTCTGTACTTCCTGCACTCTTGACAACTACAGAACAGTGGGCAGCACTTAGCCCGAGAAATGTCCCCTTTGTGTGTCTTGAGCAGGTGGAGTCAGGCGTGCTGTGTCTTGGGTGGTGCGGCTGTCAGTCGAGGGTTCCTCCCCCGAGCTGTTTCCTGCATTTTGGTTTGTCTTAAATGGAGAAAGATAAGGATTCAACTCATATGGAAGCAAAAAAAAAAAAAAATTGTGCAAAACAGGTCCAAATCTAAAAACAGGGAAAAGATTGGATTGGATTTTCAAAGCTTTATCTTGTAAGTTCCAGGTAATCTAAGGAGACTCAGCCTGGAGAGGGTCAGTTCTCAAGAGCGTGGCTTAACCCTGTGGCCCTCGGCTTCTGTGGCATTTTACAACGGTTTATTAAATGGAATTGAGTCTTCTAAAAGGTACAAAAAATAAAACCTTCAACAAACAGAGCAGAATCATGTAGGGTTTCTTCGCCCTGTGAATGCAGTGACATTTGCCATGAACTTGCAAGATTGAGTTTCCAGCCTGTGACACTTCACTTCCTCCTGGGTGCTGTCTGCCATTTCATTAAACTGCCACGAGGCAAATGGCATTGCCTTGCTCGTGGGCTCTCTGTGGAACTCAAAGACTTTCCATGAGTGTAGTCTAGGGAATTTAGCTACTTCTCAATTATGCTTGTTTTTCCTTTAAAAATAAAACTGTTAAACTCATAAAGCATATTTGTAGTGGCTGTTTGCACACATAACTGGAGTTAGAAAGCACACATGCTGGCCCAGGCGTGCCCCGACCTGCAGCGCGACCTTGCCTTATTGCACAGGGGACTCCGGGCCCCCGGCTTCTCATCTGTCCTATGTACCTAAATGTATCAAAGTGTGTAAGGTGCAGGCCAGTCCTTTGTAAAATTGCAAAAAGGCACCCACAGGTGAGGTTCATTTTAAAATGACAATTTAAACCAACATTTTAAAACAAAGTTGCCTAGGAACTTGCCCATTTCTAACAGATAACAGTCATGTTTTCGTCTGGAATTCCATCTCGGCTCAGGAGAGCACCCACCCAGCTCGTCCTCAGCCTTCCCTGGATGAGTCCCTTGGCCGTGTGCAAAGATGCAGACCGTCTGAGCTCCATGGGCACAGTCCCTGCAGCCTGTCACTGGCAACCTGAGCTGCCCTGGTGCCTGCCCAACTTCCTGGTACTTCCGTGGCCGGCCTGGCCCTCCGAGAGACATGTGCCCCTCAGTAGAACAAGCCATCTCCTAAGAAAGGTTCATTAGGCATGACCCTGTGGCCTCTGTGTGAACCCTTTAAAGCTGAAGCCTGTGTTTCTGACATGTCTTGAACAACTGAGCAACCACTTCAAACCCAAGTAGCTCTGCTTAGTTTGACTTCTTGTGATATCACCTGGAGAAGTAAAACAAAAACAAGCCATGTCAGAAACAGGCTGAAATCTATTTGAGTGGAAAATGAGATTTTAAAATTATACCCAGTCAAAGGATAAAGCTGTTTCTCAAATGTGGGAATGAACCCGTTTTCAAAGAAAAAATTCCCGCTGACCCAAAAGAATACTGAAATGTACAACTTCAAAACCAAAGCCTGTTCTCTACAAATAGCTTTCAAATGGAAACTTTTCATTTCCCAAGAATATTTTTTAAGATTATCTTCTAGTTGGGGAAAAAAAAAAAGTGTTCGTAAAGAACTCTCAGACCCCTGAGTTTAGGTTCTGAAAACCTGGGCTCCTCCATTAACCTTTGTGGGCAAGTCCCCTCACCTTGAGCTACCACTCCCCATTTATCACGTGAAATGCATGCCCATCTCTCAAGTGCAAGGATCAGATGTCACATTTGAGAGACAGTGCATGAACCATGACATTCTGTACAAACAGTGGAAGTAGCTTCTGACATGTGTGTGCCCTTGGGCCAGTCCGCTCCCCGGCCCTTGGCAAGCGTCCTGCCTGTGAACTGGAAGCGGTGAGCACCTCCCCCGTGCAGTGCTTGTGGCCTGAAGGAGCTCGTGTACTATGGCTCGGAGAACGGAAAGCACTAGAAGTATCAGCTGTTACTAACATCGAACAGGTGCAGTACTTAGCCCATTTTAATGAAGTCACTTAGAATCTGATTTTTTGCTAGAAACCAGTGTCAAGAATAGTTTCTGGTGCTCTGAGGTCTTTTCTTCCGTCCTCTAGCTGACCTTTCTGTTTCATTCCCAGAAGTCCAGGGTTACAAGCTGACATCCATACTTTGAAGGACAAGAGACTAGCTGAGACTCTGCAACAGCAAAAAGCATTTGTAACTCTCCCTGTAATTCTGGGGGCTTCCCAGCAAGCTGTCCAGGGTCGGCATGGACTGCCGATCGCCGCTGTGCGCCCACTTGGGGAGCCCTGAGGGGGGCTCGTTTCTGTGTGGTAGAGCTGTGTATGCCAGCACCATGTTTGTGCTTCACTCTGTGAAGGAAGTTCCCAAAACTAAGTTGAGAGGCTTCTTAAAGAAACTGATATTAACAGTCTTACACGTGCTTGTAAAAGTAGCACACCAGCTGCTTTTCTGCAGCCAAATGTGCAGTGTTACCTCCGACCTCTGTCTCTTCACAGCCTGCAGTACCCTTCTGGCCTCCTGGAGAACTCCTCCTCCAGGGGAGAAGCTGCCACCTGCCGAGTCCCACTGAGTGCTGGACCCTGCGTCAGAACCCTCGCGTTCTTTGCCCAGGGAATCCTCACTGCAGCCCTGACTGAGCGCTAGCCTCCACCGATTAACGAATGACACAGGCCCGCAATCGGCCACCACACTGCCCGGTTCCGGTCAGTACCAGCTCGCAAATGTCTGTGGATCGCACACACTATAATGCGCAACGTGCCTCTGGAGCAGCCCAGCCCGGCAACCCTGATCTCAGCTACTAACTGGATTTAGGAGTCAAACCTGAGCCAGGGACACAGACGTTCTCACTCCACTCCACCTCACATTTCCTTCCTTAGGGGGAAAAACGGTTCCAATCAGCTTCTGTATGAACAGGACCCCAATAGGTAGTGAGCAGCAACTCTGTGCTTTGATACTATTTCATCCTTGCAGCAGCCAACCTGTTAGGAAAGTCCTATCTCCATTTTCACAGTAGGTAGTGCACATGTATGTTTTCAAGAGAAAATGCAAAACAAACAGACTCTGCTCTTTTTATTTAAATGAAAATAGCTTTTAAAAAAATTATATGTGCTTATTATTTAAATTAAATAGAAAAGCAAAAGATAACCTGAAATCCCACTATCGCAGCCAACCGTGCTAAGTAAGCACTGCAGCGAACATCCTTCCATCCACCGGTCAGTTTTATGTGTAACAGTTACGCTGTGCATGTTGCTTTGTAACCTTTACTTGACAGAACATAATGGGAACTTTCCTGTCAATGCACACAGCTCTCCATCCTTTTTTTTTAAATCCTCACCCGAGGACACTTTTGCATTTATCTTCAGGTAGAGCAGGAAGGAGAGAGGGAGGAAGAGAGAAAGAGAAACATCAATGTGAGAGAGACACATTGAGTGGCTGCCACCCACACGACCCCAACCGGGGCCGAGGACAAACTGCAACCGAGGTACATGCCCTTAGCGGGAACCGAACCCAGGACTCTCCAGTCCGCAGGCCGATGCTCTAACCGCTGAGCCAAACCGGCCAGGGCCATCCTTTTTAATGACTACCTAATATTCCCTGTGCAGATGCCACAATTTAAGCAGGTCTTTCATAACTTATATTCCTTTATATTCTCACTGTCACAACAGCTAGAATCATATTAATCATGAGGGCTGCACACACTATTGACCAATACTAAGATTTTTTTTTTTTTAATGAAAGGAATGGAGTGGGGGGGAGAAAGAGAGAGAGAGACATCAATGTGAGAGAGACACATTGATTGGTTGCCTCCCGCACAATTCTGAATGGAGCCAGGGATCGAACCTGCAACCCAGATATATGCCCTTGACTGGAATCAAACCGTGACCCTTTGGTCTGCAGGCTGACACTCTAACCACTGTGCCAAACCTGCCAGGGCCTAAGATTTGCTTTAATTTTTATCTACAAGCCAGGCAGGCTTCCTTGTTGTCCCTCCCTTTAGTCCTACGCCCAGGTCTTCCAGTCCTTCATTCATAACTCACCCTCCAGGAGTGGGGACGGAGAAAACCTGTCTGGCGGCTTGGCCTTTTCCATTAAGAAGGCAGCAGCACATTTGACCGTGAACAAGTCTCATCAAACAAAATGTCAAGCCGATGGTTCATTGAAAGGTACTGGAGCATGAACACCCTTTTATTGAGGTTAGAGGTGACCGTGCCTTGTATTTTCTCCCGATAGAAGTTACTCAAGACATTCCCTTGCCAGCTGAAGCCTGCAGAGGTTTTCCTCTTGCCACGGGGCTGGTCTCGTCTGGAAGGTTAGCAGATACGGCCGAGAAAGGTGACAGTAGCTATTGTCCCAAGCAGGGCATGTGGGGAAGGGCTCGGCCCCTGGACCCCTCCGGGAAGAGGGGGCCTGGTGGCCAGCGTGGATTTGAAGCTGGCTTCTGTCCAGCTTTGCAAGAAACAGGGTCTTGGACGCTGCGTGTTTGGGGTGTTGGGGCAGCAGCAAAGGATCATTTACATCTGCCTGAAGGGAAGGGAAGGAAGGAAACTGGAGAAAGAGGACGGAAAGGAAACAATGTCTGTTGAGCAGGTGGGCCTAGCATTGAACTCACAGCTGTCCTCTGAGGCAGGGATCACAGTGTGCACTTCACTGGTGAGAAACCGATTTCAAAACAGGTAAGTAAATCAACCAAGGCCTCCGCTGGAGAGGAAGAGCTGAGTAGAAAGGCAACAAATTGACATTCTCAAACTCCCAGCAAAGCTTCAAGGATTCTCATACCGATGGGCAACGGTGGCTCTAGAATTTCTAAAAAAAATAGGGTTCGGGCTAGCATTTGGATTGGGAAGAGGTGTGTGGGTTTTTTGTTTGTTTGAATTTGCCTAGCAGATTCTGTTTGTCCTCCACCCCACCTTCTTTACACCGCTTCTTGGCACAACTGCCCATGAGCTCTTCCTTGGAAAACTACTTGATGAAAAAATACAGCCAAGAGATACTTCCAAATAAAGAATCTGAGAATAGGGACAACATGGAAAGAAAGAACCAGCAGTAAGTAATCGATCTAATTTTTTTATCCTCACCCGAGAACATTTTTTCGTTTTTTGTTCAGATAGAGTGGGAGGGAGGGGGAAAGAGAGAGAAAGAAACATTGATGTGAAAGGGACACATCAAGTGGTCGCCACCCACAAGACCCAACCAGGGCCGGGGACAAACTGCAACGGAGGTACGTGCCCTTAGCAGGAACCGAACCCGGGTCTCTCTGAACTACAAGCCAACACTCTAACCATGGAGCCAAACCGGCCAGGGCAATCAATCTATTTAAATAGAGGATTGAGCCCAGCCGGTGTGGCTCAGTGGTTGAGCACTGACCCATGCACCAAGAGGTCGCCTGTTCAATTCCCGGTTGAGGCACATGCCCAGGTTGTGGACCCAATCCCCAGTGGGGGCATGCAGGAGGCGGCCAATCGATGTTCTCATCTATGTTTCTATCCCTCTCTCTCCCTTCTTCTCTCAAATCAAAACAGAAAAAAATTTTAAATAGAGAACTGAAACGAAGTTACCA